CCGCGGGGGTCTGCCGCGGTAGAAACCGGCTGGGGGCGGCGTTTTTTTTTTGGGGGGGGAACAGTTCGGCGGGGACCGGCGGCTGGTGGCCGTTACAGGCCCACGCAGGCGGGCAGCGAAGGGTCCGAGCAGGTCAGGCGAGTGTCCGAAGCAGGTCAACGAGGGTCGAAGAAGGTTCAGCCGAGGGTCCGAAGGCAGGTACAGCCGGGGGGTGGGGTCGACCTTTTTTTTTTTTTTTTTTTTTGCAGGCAGCGTTCCGAGAAGGTCAGCCGGGGGTAGTCGAGCAGTCAGGGTTGACGAGCAGGGGGTCGGGGTCCGAGCAGGTCAGGGTCCCCCACAGGCCGGAGTCCGAAAACAGGTCAGGCTCGTCGCAGGCGGGGGCCCGCGGGGTTGCCGCTGGTGGTATTGAAACCGGCGGGGCGGCGGGGGAACAAGTTCGGCGAACCGGCCGGGCTGGTGGCCGTACAGGGCCCACGCAGGCCGGGCAGGCGAGGGGTCCGAGCACAGTCAGGCGAGGCCAGCAGGCGGCGGCGAGTGTCGACAGGTCAAACGAGGGTCCGAGAAGTGTCAGCCGTAGTGGTCCGAGCAGGTCAGCCGGGGGTCCGAGCAGGTCAGGGTCCGAGCGTCAGCCGGGGGTCCGAGAATGGTGCAGGGTCCGAGCAGGTCGGGTCCGAGCAGGTCAGTGTCCGCACAGGTCAGGAGTCCGAACAGGTCAGCTCGTCGCAGGCGGGGCCCGCGGGGTGCCGCGTATGAACCGGCTGGGGGCGGCGGGAACAAGTTCGGCGACCGGCCGGGCTGGTGGCCGTACAGGGCCCACGCAGGCCGGGCAGGCGAGGGTCCGAGCAGGTACGAGGGTCCGAGCAGTGTCAGGCAGTGTCAAAGAGCAGGTGGAACGAGAAGGTGAAGAAGAGTAGCGAGGTCCGAGCAGGTCAGACGGGGGTCCGAGCAGGTCAGGTCGAGACAGGTCAGCGCGGGGTCGGAGCAGGTCAGGGTCCCGAGCAAGGTCGGGGGTCCGAGCAGGTCAGGGTCCGCACAGGTCGAGAGTTCCGAAAACGGTCAGGGTCGTCGCAGGCGGGGCCCCGCGGGGTGCCGCGGTATGAACCGGCGGGGGAGGCGGGGGGAACAAGTTCGGGCGGAACGGCCGGGCTGGTGGCGTACAGGGCCCACGCAGGCCGGGCAGGCGAGGGTCCGAGCAGGTCAGCAGGGCCCACGAGGCGAGGCAGGCGAGTGTCCGAGCAGGTCAACGAGGGTCCGAGAAGGTCAGCCGAGGGTCCGAGCAGGTCACCGGGGGTCCGAGCAGGTCAGGGTCCGAGCAGGTTCAGCCGGGGGTCCGAGCAGGTCAGGGTCCGAGCAGGTCGGGGTCCGAGCAGGTCAGGGTCCGCACAGGTCAGGAGTCCGAACAGGTCAGGCTCGTCGCAGGCGGGGCCCGCGGCGGTGCCGCGGTATGAAACCGCTGGGGCGGCGGGGAACAAGTTCGGCGACCGGCCGGGCTGGTGGCCGTACAGGGCCAGCCAGGCCGCGAGGTCCGGACGCAGGCGAGGGTCCGGCAGGTCAGGCGAGTGTCCGAGCAGGTCAAACGAGGGTCCGAGAAGGTCACCGAGGGTCCGAGCAGGTCAGCCGGGGTCCGAAGCAGGTCAGCGTCCGGAGAAGGTCAGCCGGGAGTCCGAGCAGGGTCAGGGTCCGAGCAAGGTGGGGTCCGAGCAGGTTCAGGGTCCGCACAGGTCAGGAGTCCGAACAGTCAGGACCGTCGCAGGCGGGCCGAGGGTGCCGCGGTATGAACCGGCGGGGGCGGCGGGGAGGGAACAAGTTCGGCGGGACCGGCCGGCTGGTGGCCGTACAGGCCACGCAGGCCGGGCAGGCGGGAGGGTCCGACCCCCCCCCCCCCCTGCAGGGTCAGGAAGGGCCCCGCAGGCAGGCAAGGGCGAGTGTCCGAGCAGGTCAACGAGGGTCCGGAAGGTCAGCCGAGGGTCCGAGGCAGGTTCAGCCGGGGTCCAGAGCAGGTCAGGGTGTCTGTAGCAGGTCAGCCGGGGGTTTCGAGCAGGTCAGGGTTCGAGGCAGGTCGGGGTCCGAGCAGGTCAGGGTCCGCACAGGTCAGGAGTCCGAAACAAGGGTCAGGTCGGTCGCAGCGGGGGCCCGCGGGGTGCCGCGGTTGAAAAACCATGGCGGGGGGCGGGGCGGGGAACAAGTCGGCGACCGGCCGGGCTGTGCCCGTACAGGGCCCACGCAGGCCGGGCAGGGCGAGGGTCCGAGCAGGTCGCAGGGTCCGGCATAGAGTGTCCGAGCAGGTCAAACGAGGGTCCGAGAAGGTCAGCCGAGGGTCCGAGCAGGTCAGCCGGGGGTCCGAGCAGGTCAGGGTCCGAGCAGGTCAGCCGGGGTCCGAGCAGGTCAGGGTCCGAGGCAGGTCGGGGTCCGAGCAGGTCAGGGTCCGCACAGGTCAGGAGGTCCGAACAGTCAGGCTCGTCGCAGGCGGGGCCCGCGGGGTGCCGCGGTTATGAAAACCGGGGGGGGGCGGCGGGGAAACCAAGTCGGCGACCGGCCGGGCTGGTGGCCGTAAGGGCCCACGCAGGCCGGGCAGGCGAGGGTCGAGCAGGTCAGCGAGGGTCCACGAGCGGTCAGGCGAGTGTCCGAGCAGGTCAAACGAGGGTCCGAGAAGGTCAAGCCGAGGGTCGAGCAGGTCAGCCGGGGGTCCGAGCAGGTCAGGGTCCGAGCAGGTCAGCCGGGGGTCCGAGCAGGTCAGGGTCCGAGCAGGTCGGGGTCCGAGCAGGTCAGTGGTCCGCACAGGTCAGGAGTCCGAACAGTCAGGCTCGTCGCAGGCGGGGCCCGCGGGGTGCCGCGGTATGAACCGGCTGGGGCGGCGGGGAACAAGTTCGGCGACCGGCCGGGCTGGTGGCCGTACAGGGCCACCAGCGGCAGGAGGCCGAGCGGTCAGGCGAGGGTCCGAGCAGGTCAGGCGAGTGTCCGAGCAGGTCAAACGAGGGTCCGAGAAGGTCAGCCGAGGGTCCGAGCAGGTCAGCGGGGGGGTCCGAGCAGGTCAGCGGTCCGAGACAGGTCAGCCGGGGGTCCGAGAAGGTCAGGGTCCGAGCAGGTCGGGGTCCGAGGCAGGTCAGGTCCGCACAGGTCAGGAGTCCGAACAGGCAGGCTCGTCGCATGGCGGGGCCCCGCGGAGTGCCGCGGTATGAACCGGCGGGGGCGGCGGGGGGAACAAGTTCGGCTACCGGGCCGGGCTGGTGGCCGTACAGGGCCCACGCAGGCCGGGCAGGCGAGGGTCCGAGCAGGTTCAGGCGAGGCCCGTCCGAGCAGGCAGGCGGAGTTTCCGATTGCAGGTCAAACGAGGGTCCGAAGAAGGTCAGCCGAGGGTCCGTTTAGCAGGTCAGCCGGGGTCCGAGCAGGTCAGGGTCCGAGCAGGTCAGCCGGGGTCGAGCAGTCAGGGTCCGAGCAGGTCGGGGTCCGAGCAGGTCAGGGTCCGCACAGGTCAGGAGTCGAACAGTTCAGGCTCGTCGCAGGGGGGGGCCCGCGGGTGTGCCGCGGTATGAACCGGGCGGGGGCGGCGGGGAACAAGTTTCGGCGACGGCCGGGCTGGTGGCCGTTTACAGGGCCCACGCAGGGCCGGGCAGGCGAGGGTCCGAGCAGGTCAGGCGATGGTCCGAGCGGTAGGTGTCCGAGCAGGTCAAACGAGGGTCCGAGAAGGTCAGCCGAGGGTCGAGTCAGGTCAGCCGGGGGTCCGAGCAAGGTCAGGGTCGAGAAGGTCAGCCGGGGGCCGAGCAGGTCGGGTCCGAGCAGGGTCGGGGTCCGAGCAGGTCAGGGTCCGCACAGGTCAGGAGTCCGAAACAGTCAGGCTCGTCGCAGGGGGGGCCCCGGGGTGCCGCGGTATGAACCGGGGCGGCGGGGAAACAAGTTCGGCGACCGGCCGGTGGTGGCCGTTACAGGGCCCACGCAGGCCGGGCAGGCGAGGGGTCCGAGCCAGGTCAGAGCCACGCGAGGGTCCGGGCAGGTCGAGTGTCCGAGCAGGTCAAGAGGTCCGAGAAGGTCAGCGCGAGGGTCCGAGCAGGTCAGCCGGGGGTCCGAGCAGGTCAGGGTCCGAGGCAGGTCAGCCGGGGGTCCGAGCAGGTCAGGGTGCCGAAGCAGGTCGGGGTACGAGCAGGTCAGGCGGTCCGCAACAGGTCAGGAGTCCGAACAGGTCAGGCTCGTCGCAGAGCGGGGCCCGCGGGGTGCCGCGGTATGAACCGGCGGGGGCGGCGGGGAACAAGTTCGGCGACCGGCCGGGCTGGTGGCCGTACAGGGCCCACGCAGGCCGGGCAGGCGAGGGTCCCAGTAGGCAGGGTCGACAGGCAGCGAGTGTCCGAGCAGGTCAAACGAGGGTCCGAGAAGGTCAGCCGAGGGTCCGAGCAGGTCAGCCGGGGGTCCGAGCAGGTTTCAGCGTCCGAAAGACAGGTCAGCCGGGGGTCCGACTGCAGGTCAGGGTCCGGCAGGTCGGGGTCCGAGCAGGTCAGGGGTTCGCACAGGTCAGGAGTCGAACAGGTCAGGCTCGTCGCAGGCGGGCCGCGGGGTGACGCGGTATGAAACCGGCGGGGGCGGCCGGGGAACAAGTTCGGGACCGGCCGGTGCTGGTGACGTTTACAGGCCCACGCAGGCCGGGCAGGCTAAGGGTCCGAGCAGGTCAGGCGAGGGGCCCCGAGCCAGGCAGGCGAGTGTACCGAGCAGGTCAACACGAGGGTCCGAGAAGGTCAGCCGAGGGTCCGAGCAGCAGTCAGCCGGGGGTCCGAGCAGGTCAGGGTCCGAGCAGGTCAGCCGGGGGTCCGAGAGGGCAGGGTCCGAGCAGGTCGGGGTCCGAGCAGGTCAGGGTCCGCACAGGTCAGGAGTCCGAACAGTCAGGCTCGTCGCAGGCGGGGCCCGCGGGGTGCGCGGTATGAACGGCGGGGCGGCGGGGGGGACCCCCCAAGTTCGGCGACCGGCCGGTGGTGGCCGTACAGGGCCCACGCAGGCCGGCAGGCGAGGGTCCG